GGCAGACCTCCGATTAAGACAGAGGTTAGTGCTGATGCCTGCTTCAGTGTAGTTGTCTGGGTTGGAGGAAAGGACAGGATGCAAGCCAAGCTGAAGAGGAAGGGATAATTGCAAGTCCCCTTTCTTCCCACTTTGCCATTCAAATCGTTGAACTGGGAAGAGATCTTTAATATCAGAAACTCCCTTTGCAGATGAAAACTCAGAAATCAAGAGGTTAAGTGACGTTCCCACACCCATGCCAGGCTGATGGAGTTGTGGTCAAAATGGGAGCTTCTTACACCTGCCACAGACATCACGAGACACAGCATATTAACGCATTAATTTAGAGCTTAAAACTCCCCTGATGATAAAGACTTGGTTTCTATAGTTTTTCTCATGTGTATGTATATGCTACAAAATGTCTGTTGGTTGTTAGTAAGTTTGTTATGGAAAACAAAAGCTATGTAGCCAAGTAATTTGGGGAGAGGGTGAGTTAAACGAAGTGAAACAGTTCCTTTTCCTAACTAGGAAAGTGTGGGTCCACAGATCCAGCGCTTGAACCAAAGTCAGCCATGTGGGGATCCAGCACCTTCATCACCACGCCACCTGCCAACCCCTCGAGGGAGCATCTCAGTACCACTGATCTTCTGGAGACATCATCCCTAACATAGCCCAGGGACAGGCAGAATAAGAATTGACCTTAGATTAGCACTTTGTTTGTAACTTTACATCATCTTTTTTTTTAAACTTTTGATTTTGTCATCATTTCAGACTTAACAGAAACATTGCAAGAAAAGCATAAAGAGTCCCCATTCATGGTAGGGCCTTCAAAAAGTTCGTGGAAAGTGTATATGATGAAAAAAACTATGCATATGTGGATTTTAGACATTTTTTGCACCAACATCACATCAAACTAATTCTATGTTCCACAACTTTTTGAAGTCTTGTGGTATATCCTGTGTCTAGAGTCCCTGAATATTAAGTGACCCTACGTGCTATATTGTCCTCTCTCCTACACATACACACACACACACACACACACACAATTGTCTTGTGAATCATTTCATAAGTTGTAAAAACCATGCTTCTTTACCTTTATACACTTCACTGTGTGTTTCCTAAAAACAAGAGTTTTCTGTTCTAGAGCTGCAGTGCAGTGGCTAAAATCAGGACATTAAAGTAGTTCATGCCATTACCTACTCTACAGACCTTCTTCAGATACCACCAATTGTGCCAATAGTGTTTTAGCTAAATATGATGCCGTACATTCATTTGTTATGTCATTTAAGTTTTCTTTCATCTAGAATCATTCTTTTGTCTTTGTTTTTTTTTTAAACATCACTGTTTTTAAGAGTACAGGTCAGGGGACCAGCAGTTAGCATAATGGCTATGTCGCTGGACTCCCATGTAGTCCACCGTGGTTCAAGTCCCAGACCCGGTGGCTTAAACTCACACCGTCCGGTGTGTGTGTGTGTGCCCAAGATCCTGGGAGGAGAATGGAGGAGAAGAGATTGCGGCATGGCCATCCCTTCCAAGGGAGTGATTTCTCACTTTCTGTCTCTCTCTGTCTTTCTGGCGAGCGCACATGCCCTATAGCAAAAATCCTCTCCAAAAAGAAAAGAAAGAATACGGATCAGTTGCTTTGCAAAGTACTCCTCATGCATCAATTCAGGGGATGCTCTTTTGACCAAAAAAAACATCACCTAAGAGATGCGGAGTTCTCCCGCCGTGTCAGACATGTGTCATTGATTGGTCTCTCTATGGTCGTATTGCCTCTGCTCACTTGGCTAAGGGTACCGTGTGCCTGGTTTCCCCACTGCCGAGCTATTTTATTTGACCTTTAAGCACAGGGGGTGGAGATAGTTTGAGACTGTCTATCCTGTTCTCAAACTTTCACCCACTAGTCTCAGTATCCCGTGGTAGTGGTTCTTCCTTGAGTCAGTTTCTATTACCATGGTTATCATGGTGGTTTTTCTAGTTCTTGGATGTTTCTTAGCCAGCTTGCTACTTGTGAGGCAGAAGATCACCTTTCCCTTTAATTCTGTCTCAGTGTGGCCTCATGAATCCTTCTTTTATCCTATCAGGCTCCAGTCCTCGCTCTTAGCATGTCTTTGGCTGTTACAGTCTTGCCAGTTCTGTCCTGTAGAACTCCTACAAGCTGGCCCCTGTGTCCTTTTGACCTGTCCCTGACCGCCTTCAGGACTACCACTTTAAAGGCAGCTCTTTGCAGAGGAGTAGCTCTTTGCAGAGGAGTAGCTCTTTGCAGAGGAGTTGAGCCTTTTTCTATATTTGCCTGACTTCCTGATGAATATTCAGTCGATCCCCCCCACCTCCAGTGCTACCCCAGCTTGCAGAAACAGGATTTTCCAGCAAGGAGACATCACCAGTCACTGACAGGGCATTAGCACAGCCATCTTCAAACATCGGACTATTTAACTTCAACACGAAACGCAGGACCGTGTCAGTCCGCCAACACAGGACTTTAGGAGCAGGCGGCGCCAGCTGTGAGCAGACAAGGCCATCCTAATGGTGTTTGTTTTTCTCCTGTGTAAACCGAGCAGTGGTTGAGAAGGATTTGCCCTTTGCTTCCCTGTTGCTTTTTCGTACTCCAAAGAGAACGCAAATTTTGATTCTGCTCTGTAGTAAAACATACCAAACAGCCGAGTGCCTAACTTTTAAGTTAGCTGTTGTCAGAAAGGGGAAGAGGGCAGACAGTCTGCTCATTTTAAACTCACTCTGACTTCAAAAGAGCATTTCTTTTTTTCTATTTCTATGTATCACACTGGACCGGCAGTATGTCTTTTTTTGTACCTGGACACAGGAGAACTTGCTAAAACAAGACGTGGATGTGGGAGTGACCCATGGGAGGGAAATGAGTTCAATTTGATATGACACATCTTATAAGGAAGAATAGTTGTCGATACGGGCAGCAGGCAGGGGGTGAGTGTACATGCATCAGTCCCCACCCTTTTCGTCAGCGGGTCACACAGCCTTGGACGGTTGAGCCTGTCTCATTGAGAGAAGGAATGTCACTGGGGAAGGAAAACACAGGGCGAGGTGAGAGGGCAGAACCTCTCAG